GAGCTTGACTAAATTTCAGAGCTGGTTTGGATCATGAGTGAGGTCTAGCTTGAGGGACAAGAGTGGATTGATCTTGAGGGTATAGAAACACCTGTAATCAAGGGAGCACAAGACCAGAGAGCCTGGAATGAAATGCTTAGGAATTCTGGGACTCAACATTTCACTGTTTCCAGCAAACAGCCTTGATGCCCACTGGCAAATTATGTACATCCCCTCCATCTGATGGCTGGCCCTCAAAAGGAAAGTAAGCAGCCTACTATCACTGCAGTTGCTTGGTTAGTTCAAGGGGGCAGAGGGCTGTGCTCTAATTCTAATCCTGTTGATATGCATCATGTGAAGTCAAAACAGTCTCATGTGGATGGAATTTGGTTTTGAGTTGCTGTTTTCCCCCTAAAAAACCTAAGAAATTACACATCAAATCTAACATGGAATGTAATAGAAAGTTGCAAAAATTAGGCCAAAGTTGGAGAGATCAATGCTCAAGTTGCTCCTGTGACCTTCATTTAGTGCTCTTGTGCATGTGCGAGTCTGATAGAGCCTCTTAATTAAATTCTTACATGTTATTTCCTCATAGGACCTTTGCCTCTTGCAGTGCACACACTATTGATGGTGCTAAATGAATTAACAGTTGTTGGTTTTTTTTCTATCCTAATCATTCAGTATGCAGCCATTCCTTTAATTCTGCACATCATTCAAACCCCGCTCTGAACACAGAATTGAATAATTTCTCCTCTGGCACTTGCTGGATCAATTGAGCGCTTCACAAATTCACAAGGATTCATCTCCACAAAACCTCTGAGAGCTGAGGAAGCACCACTCTCATTTTATAGAAAATTAATAGAGGAACAAAGGGAGAGGAAAAAAAGGTGCCTTCGTGTGGGAGTATCCAGTTGAAATGCATGTGCCCAAATAATTTAGCATATTGTTTTATTGTGCTTTCTGTTGAGAAAAAAAATATTTCAGTGGCATCTCTTATTCAGCACCACAGACCTCAGGCAGCTCCATCCACTCAAACACTGAGAAAGGTAACGTGCACACAATTCATGAGCCCCTGTGAAATGTATGGTTGAAATAATTTGCCCAGCACCACACAGGAACTGTGGCCATTCTTTCTCCCCCCTGCAATACTGTGCCATACCTTTCAACTCTGGCAACCATTGATGAAGGGGTCCTAAGGATAGAGTTAGGATGCAAGAGATGTATTTTAGGGTGGTACAAGCTGCAAAGGCAACAGTCTACCAGAGCTGGGTACCACTGTTCAAATCAAGCTACAATTACTTTGTTTCATTCATCTCCCTAAGATTCAAATATATCCAAACTGCATCACACTCTTAAATGGACACATTTGCACCAATTGTACAGCTATATCAGCTATTTTTAAAATGTGTTTAATGCTCACCTAAACATGAAATACAGCTCTGAAGGCTTCTTACTCAAAAAGCAAATCAGTGGCACAGATGAACAGGCATATCTACCCACGTGCACACCCTCATGCTAATATTTTCATTCCATGCTCTACCTTTTCACTATAGCCGCTGCAGGAAACATTAGATGAGGAACTGCAGGAAACATTAGATGAGGTGGACAGATCTGGGTAAAGAGATTATCACTTTAAGCAACCCACAAAATGAAAATATTTGAAAGATAGTGACTTACAGTTAAAATTAAACTATACAACACTAGCAAATTGTAGCAAGTTCTTCCCTCTCCAATGATGTTCACCCAGAATTATCCCCCGGAAGGTCAAAATACAGTTTTTTTGCTCTATACTGTATTGTGCATCTGCTGGAGGCACTTATTTAATTCGAAGTTGGTTAAATGTCATTAACTAAAGCAATCTCCAAGATTTTTGTATTCTTTTAAAATCAAGACCACTTCCATTATAGTTCTTATGAAAATGTCAGTTTTATTAGCATTTGGACTGCATTTAACAAGGTGCTTTGCTGGGATTTGTTCTTTGCATACTAGAGAACTGTACAAGCCCAAAAGAAAACACAAGGAGCTTGAATCAGAGGTTCTAAATATCAACTTGGAAACCATTTAGATAACCATAAAATTGCTCTCCCAGACAAGATGGAAAATCTCCTTTGCCTATAGCATAACCATGTAGATTGGCTTCACAGCAAGTCATTTGTCAGAATAGCTCTCATCTCAACGTTTGACTGAGGAAACTGAGAAAAAGTCAAGGTCAAATGATGCATAATGATCTGCCCCTTTTATGTCCAACATTTTTTCTGAACACCTGTTAAAAGGTCATGGAACGTAGAGCAGCTTATCTGGGAAAGAAGGTAGGGTGCACCAAGATATTGGTCCATATCGTATCGGCATTGATAAAAAGGAAAATAGACATTATCAGCAATCGGTTTTATTTGGTCGATGGGCTTGCTAATGTTGTGTGCATAAATGTACACAATGTTGTCTGCATGCACACAGCCACAGTATGTATGTGGCCAGGAGTGCAGCCTGGCTGCTTGGAGAGCAGCGTCTGGCTGGTAAATGTTGTGGGAAAGGGGCATGTCGGGGGAGAGGGGGCAGATTGAGGCCCCCACAGTGAGGGAGGGAACGGGGCTGGGACTGGGGCAGGAGCTGCAGAGCTAGGGCAGGGCGTGGGACAAAGCCGTGGGTAGCTCCCACTGCTGCATGCATCCCAGAGGAGTAAAGGGTGGCATGTGCCTCCCGGATTTGTGCGTGGCGGGAGGGCAGGCTGCCCACTACGGGGTCGGGGCCAGAGGCTACACTAGCCTCTTCCCAGCAGGGGGGGCTGGGCGAGGCTGCACCAGGAGGGGGGCAGCTACAGAGAATTTTGGGGTGGCCATAGCCCCCCTGTACCCACCCTCCCAGCACTGCCGCCACCTGCCCCAAACACAGCCCCGACCCACACCCCCTGCCAGGAAAAGGCCAGCACAGCCCCAAGCCTGCTGTCGCCTCATGCACAAATCCGGGGGGCACATGCTGCTCATGCCTCTCCCAGGTGGCAAGAGCTGCCCACCCCATCCCCACATGGCTCTGTCCTGCACTTTGTGCCACCCCAGCTGGGCAACGCCTTCCCCAGTCCCACTCCCTTTCTCAGTATGGGGGCCTCAATCTGCCCCCACCCCCATGCTCCTTCCCCCCACTTCAGACTTACTGGCTGAATGCTGCTCTCCAAGCTGCTGGGCTGCATGTTGGCAATCAGATTGGTATTGGCCGATATGGCTGGTTAATAATTGGCCACTGGTATTGGCCAAAAAAACTTTATCAGTGTCCTCCTAAAAAGAAAGTGCACTACAGATCACACACACACCTTTCTGAAAGCACCTTTAGTCCTCAAGATTGGGACAAAGTTGACACAGCTAGAGTTTCTTTCCCTCTCCCTCAAATTGGCAAACATGCACAAGCATCAGCAGTGCTATTACTGCATTGACCTACTGCTGTCTTAACTCTTTAGAAGGGTTCTTCTGACTACATTTTTCATGCAAATTCAATAGGTGACACACTATTAGAGTAAACAACTGAGCTGTTGACTGACTCTCTGGTTTAGTAGAATATACCTGGGCACCTGAATTCTCTCTGGTTAATGCAGGCATCATCTAGTCATGACTTTTAATTACTATTGATCTTCTCTAACTTCGAACCAGTTAACCTAATGAGGAAATGTTTTATATATTACCAATGCTTGGATGCAAAATATTTAAATAAATAAATACATGCAGCTCAATTTTCCAAAGCATTTCTCAGACAGCAATTTCTATCCTGACTGCCAATTAATGAAATTAAAATACTTGTACGATGTAGAATCTCTACCTAACTTGTGTCCAATTCAAAGCTCATGTCACAAAAGGAAAGTATGCAGGAAAACAGTCTAGAAAACATCAAAAATGTTGTATTTAGATGCTATAAACTTGTACTTTTTAGTTGGCGACTTTAGAAGACAGTAGCTGTAGCCCACGGTATTCTAACTGTCCACATTTTATGCTTTAAACGTGTACTCCTCTCAGGAATACAAATAAGTCCCATAGTCCAGTTAGCTGCATTGGCAAATCAAGAATTCAACAACAGCTTTTTCCATTTCTGAAACTGAACCATAAATTCAGTTGAACTGATTTCATGGCTCATTCTGTGCTGGAGTGCCCTCTAATGGCAATTCCCTACAATGACTATGTTAATCTAAAATTCACCAAGATTTAATGTTTTAGTTGTATATCATTTTAGAAACTTCCTTAATGGAAATTAAGATGTTCTGATCTCGTTTCATGTAAGGGGAGGGGGGTGGGGGGGAGGGGGGATGTAGTTAAGGGGTAAGAAGGGGATGTAGCTCAGTGGTAGAGCACATGCTTTGCATGTATGAGGTCCTGGGTTCAATCCCCAGCATCTCCATTTTAGGAGGAAGGATGGGTTAATAGTTAGAACACTGCCTTTAGGGCTCTGGAGACCAGGGGTTCAGTTCTCAGCCCTGCACAGACTTTCTTGGGCATCTTTAAGAGAAGGCTGGAGAGGCACCTGGTCATCTGACCCCAGCACTC